GCATTACAATTCATGAGCTGAGCCCTGGTCAGCCTACTGAGCCCTGCTGTCATTCAAAGGTTGAAATGCACTTCATGTAAAACATCAAGAACATATCCACAAGTACATTTTGGATATCTCATTTCTCAGTCATAACCAAAAAAAACACACACATTCTGTTCCTAGTTTACTTGAAATAGTTTATTTTTTATATAAAAAAGCATAAAATATAAAGCAGTTAAATAAATAGATGTTTAAAATTACACACAAAATAAAGCACTATTACCTTGCCCGAAGCATTGTGGAAAAACACTAGTACTACAAGATCTACATTTTTCTCAACCTGGAAAGCAGGCAAATACGGTTCATTTAAATATGAAGTATATTTAAAGTAAAAATTGTAAGAACACAAAATACTTTATAGGCAACTGGTTCAGAAGAATATTGCTTTGATTAGAGGTTGCTGGGCCAATGGACAGTTTAGTAACTCTCCTAATTCATTATTAAAATAAAACTCAGATCTTGTTCAGTTAAGAATTAAAATACATTGTCCATCTCAATATTAATACTGTGGAATACACCCCAGGGAATTATGCACAGAAAAAATATAAATTATGCAAACCAAAAATGAAAATTATGCAAAATGACACTTTCTTTTTACAATTTAAACACAGAAAACTATTGTAGCCTCATTATAAAGATCTAGAATCCAGCTTTCATGAATTTTGTAAAAGATAACAGTAGGGAATGATCACAAGCCACTTTTAAAGAAGAGCTGAAGAAAACTCCTCCAACATTACTAAGAATGCTTACACGGCTGCAGAAATATGAACTAGAATTTACGAATAAACCGGGAGAAACCCAGTATGTAGTAGATACACTGAGCAGAGCAGTGAGTTAAAAAGGCAATGAAGAAGATAAAAGACTAGAAAAGGAAATGGGAGTATAATGTCTGGGAGATCGCAAAAGCAACAAAACGAGAAAAAGACATAAAAGAAACCACAAGTAGAGACGTATTAAGTGCTGCCATCAAGGGCATGTTACAAAGTGGATGGCCCGAAAACAAGAAGGATGCTCCAGAGAAAGTTAGATCATATTGGGATAACATATGGTAATTATATCAATAAAAAGGAATAATATAACAAGCTGACAGGACATCAGTGGATCAGTGGGAGTCACAGCTGGAGGAGAAGTAAATTTGTGTGACATCCGCATACATGTGGAAGTTGACCCCTTGTTTGCAGATGACATCACCGAGAGATAGCATGTAGATGAGGAAGGGGAGGCCAAGGATGGAGCCTTGGGGTACCCCAAGTTGACCGGGTGGGGGCGGGAGGAAAAAACGTTTGACGAGAAGTATTGTTGGCGGTTAGTCAAGTAGGACTCGAACCATGCGAGTGCGGTGCTACTAAAATGGATGAGGGAAGAGAGGCGGTGGAGGAGGATGGCATGATCGACTGTGTCGAATGTGGCAGAGGTCGAAGAGATTGAGGAGGAAGAGAGGACGTAATTTGTTACCTTGAAGAGCGCTGTCTCTCTACTGTGGGCAAAAAATGGAAAGAAGGGGTTTGAGTAGAGAGAGGTGTGAGTGAAGTTGATTTGCAACCACGCGTTCCAAAGCTTTGGCCAGGAAGGGCAGGTTTGAAATGGCTCTGAAATTTGAGGTTGGAGGGATTGAGGGTAGGTATTATGAGGAAAGAACTGATAACAGCGGTTTTGAGGGGGAGTGGGACAGAGCCTGAGGAAAGAGCCTGGTTGATTGTGTCAAGACAGCAGTAGGCAGAGGAGGGAGAGTTGGGTGACCAGACGTAGGTGGGGAGGGGGTCGAGGCAGCAGGTGGTGGGCTTCATCTTAGTGATGGTGGGGGAAAGGGACGTGGGAGATGTTAGAATGTGTATATTTCTTACAAGTAACACAAACGGTAGTGGTCGGCAGAAAGTTACCAGAGGTTAACTCCAAGGGAGCCAAATGCCAGACAAGCTGGTTTAAACCAGGAGGAGTTGTATGCCCTGATTGGCCTCCTCTGTCTGTACTTTTAGATAAGAAAGTGTTCCGATTAAGTACTAGAATAGTGAGAAACAAGCCCAAATAAGGCAGACCAAAGAAAAAGATATATAAGCTTGGGAAAAGGGGTGGTCTTTAGAGATCTGTCCAGGGCAGATTGCAGAAGGACAGGTAGTATTGCTCTGTTATTTTATATTGCATTAATTCTGTATAACCAACATTATTCGTATGCTTAATAAACTGTTAAAATCCGCCATTTTGGTTTCACAAGATCGAAATTATTTTCTGGGTGCAGGCTCGGTTGCAAACGAGTCCTATACCCTAACAAATTGGCGTAGTCAGCAGGATCTTGACAGGATTTTCAGCAGTTTGTTATATGCGAGTGATTGGGGTTATTTGTGCCCGGTCGGAGGAACGGGTGTAGAGTGTATTTTTTATTAGCCATCACCGTCTGCTAATAGGGTGTGGTTTTTTGAGCCACCCCCGGCTGCTACTAGGGTGTTTTTTTTTTGTTTGTTTTTTTGTCAATCCACTCCTGAAGGAGGTGGTGGCTGTTTATCGTGTACCTTGTTTGTCGGGTACTTTTTTTTATTGTGTTGTGATTGTGTTGGGCGTACAATTGTTGCGGGACAGTTGTTGTGTGAGACTGCCCCGAGTAGTCAGTTGCTTGGGGTTGATAACCGGAATAGCTAGTTACGTTGAAACCAGATAGTCTAATATGGAGAGTGGTGATAAACCTAAGTGGGCGTGTAATTTTCAAAAGAAATTAGAAGAGACTTGTAAAGGAAAGGCTTGGGAGTGTGCTACAGTGGTGCTAAGGCAAGGAGTGACCGAAATCGAAAAGTTAATAGGGCAAATAGAGACGGAGGGTGCGAAACTTAAATTGGGGCAAAAGGATAGAATAATGCATGTTGAAGATAGTCGAGCAGGGACTGTCCAACAGGGAATCAGTCAAGAAGTTGAGTGGTGAGTGTAAAGAGGGGGCAGCGGCGCTGGCTACCCTAACTGCCGAAAGAGAAAAGGAGAGAGTAGAGTGGGAGATAGGAAGGAAACTTTTAATTGCCGACAGGGAGAAGAAGGCGGAATGGGAACTGGAACGGAAAACTCAGCGGACGAATGAGCGCGTCTTAGAAAGTGAGTGTAATAGGATGAAGATTAATAGCAACATTGGGAGCCAGCACCTCGCTGATCTGATGCAATGCAAGGCTGAGAAAAAGCAGTTAGAAGAGGTTGGTAGGCTGACAGTGCGTACTAGGGACCTGGAAGGGGCACTCAAGCATAAAATGGGAATGATGGGAAGTCATGACAACAACAACAACAACAACAAGATTCCATTTATTGAGCGCCTTTCACGTCGGGAGGACGTCTCAAGGCGCTGTACAGTTGGGTCAGGACCCGAGCAGGGGGGAAATGGTCAGGGTGAGGGGAGGGAAGGGAGGGAGCGAGATGGGGGTAGAGAGACGAGAGGGGAGCTGAAGGCACGGTCAAAGAGAAAGGTCTTGAGACCGGCCTTGAAGGAGGAAAGGGAGGAGGTGGCGAAGGCACTGGGGGATAGAGTTCCAGAGTCTCGGGGCTGAGAGGCTGAAGGCCCGGCCACCGATGGTAGGGCAGTTGGGGCAGGGGATGTGGAGCAGACCGGAGCCAGAGGAATGGAGGGTACGGGCAGGTAGGTAGGGGGATAGTAGATCAGAGAGGTAGGAGGGAGCAAGGCTGTGAATGGCCTTGTAGGTGAGGATCTTGAATTCAATCCTCTGGGGGATGGGGAGCCAGTGGAGGCGAGCGAGGGTGGGAGTGATGTGTTCCCGAAGCCTGGTGCGGGACAGTACACGAGCTGCAGAGTTCTGAATGACCTGCAGTGTGGAGGGAGGTGCCGGGAAGGCCGGCGAGGAGAGAGTTCCCATAGTCCAGCCTTGAGGTGATAAAGGCGTGGACCAGAGTTTCAGCAGCGTGAGGGGTGAGGTAGTGCCGTAGTCTGGCAACATTCCGGAGGTGATGGAAGGCGGTGCCAGTTGTGGCGCGGATATGAGGGAGAAAGGACAGCTCAGGGTCGAAGAGAACCCCGAGTTTCCTGACTGACTTTGAGAGGTGGAGAGTGCAGCCTTGGATGCTGATGCTGTCAGTGCCTGAGGTGCGGAGGCGCTGACGCGAGCCAATCAGGAGGGCCTCAGTTTTACGCACGTTGAGCTGAAGAAAGTTGTCTCTCGTCCAGGAAGTGATGCTAAATCTATACAAAACTTTGTTTAGGCAACATTCACAATACTGTGCACAGGTTTGATTGCCACATTACAAGGAAAGATATTATAGTATTAGAGAAAGTGCAGCTAACAAAAAAGGTTATAGATAGATTGGAGCTTTTCTTTCTAGGGTTGAGAAGACTGGGAGGGAACATGATAGAGGTGATCTAGATTGTTTAAGGATTTGTTGGGGTGGATGTTGATAAGCTGTTCCCACTTACTGACAAGTCCATAACTAGAGGACATAAATATAAGATAGCCAATAGATCTAATAGGAAGTTTAGGAGGAACTTCTTTGCACAGAGATGTGGTGAGAATGTTTCAATCGCTGTCAGAAGCTACAACAACAACAAAATTACATTTGTATAGTGCCTTTCATGACGGGAGGACGTCCCAAAGCTGTAGTTGATTCAAAGATCATCAACACATTTAAGCAAAAACTTGATGCATTCATGAGGGACGAGGAATACAGGGGTGTAGGGGAGGGGAAGAGGAGGGGGGAGGGGAAGAGGAGGGATGAGGGCTCTTGTTGAGTGTGAACATCAGCAAAGGCTAGTTTTTCCCATAGAAGTCACACTATGCAACCTGTTTGAACCAGCTATTCTCACCTTTATCAATTATTGTTTCAATACTTCAAACAATTATATTGCTTGCATTTGATATAGCGTTTTTCAAGGTCTTCTAGACTTCTCAAAGCACTTCACAGAATATACTGTAAAGTGAACTGAATGTATATTTTGTGGGCGAAACGCGGAAGCCAATTGCGCACAGCAGTGTCCCACAAACAGTCGTTGATTGAGTACCCACATTATTATTATATTTTTTTCAACACCAAAAACATTTACCTTCGCTTATAAGACAAATGTTAAAGCGCAAATTTAGCAACCAATGAAATATCACTTGCCATCATTCAATACTTCATATTTTAAGTAACAATATTTCTACTAACACAAAGTAGAATAGGTGGCCTTAGCTTCTCAGTTCTACAAAGGAATCCACAGACAGCAGGGTGTGAACAGATTCAAGGGTAACAAACCACCAGTGTTATTTTAACATCACCTCAAAATCCTGTGAACAAAGCAACTGACTTACTGCACATTTATAAAAGGAAAAATAAGTTTAAACCTTTGGGCAGTTGCATTATGTTTTCTTCTTCGCAGCTTTGGTTTCTTTCTCATTCATCCTCCCATTTGCTTTCTCGTCAAAGTTCCAGTCAACCGGATTAAGCAGCTGCATTGTTTTTTTGTGAGTCCAAAAGGGATTAATTATGAAAGTCAGGAGGAAAAGCCCAGAAAAGAACACAAGGTGCGGTATCACTGGTACCTGGGAACGAAATATTTCCAAATGTTGCCACCACAGCCACCACATGTAATAGGTGAGGATCATACGGCAGTGAAACATGTGGATCGTGAACCACTGGTTAACTTTCCAGAACAAGGTATGTGAAAAGCCACTCTAGGGAAAAAACATAAAAGGTACTTAGGTACACAATGTGCAAGTCCAGACATTTTTTCCCTCATTCAATCTACACTCTAGATTCACTTGGGGATGTGATTTCACAAATACATAATACCACAACAACTTGCATTTATAAAGCGCCCTTCATGCGAGGTAGCGTCCCAGAACGTTTGACAGTGGCGGAATCTGACACTGAGCAAGGGGGCGAGGGACGGTAGAAGTGACTGTAAGCACAATCAAAAAGGAAGGTCTATAGGTGGGATTTGAAAATGGGGAGGGAGGGGGCAAAGCGGAGGGATTGAGGGAGAGTTCCAGAGTTTTGGGGCGTAGTGATCGAAGATACGGCCACCAATGGTGGAGTGGGGGGGGACAAGGGACAAACAGGAGGCCGGAGCCCATGTTTATATTATGAATATTATATAATCAGTAATAATGAATGATAACAATAATATTCTTATATTTAGTATTGTGCCTTTCAAGTGGGGAGAACATCCCAAAGCGCTTCACAAAATTTATTGTAAATTGATGTAATTATGTGTCACAGCAATGTTCCACAGATAGCCATGACGTGAGTGACCAATTTTAGTTGGGGGATTGCTGGCCATGACCTCAGGATAATCTCCCCTTTCTGTTTGAATAGTACCATGGGATCTTTAATGTCCATCTGAACTGGTAAACAGGATGAGGTTTAATGCCTCATCCAAAGGACAGCACCTCCAACAATACAGCAACCCCCCAGCACTGAGTTCTAATGCAGGGCTTCAACCCACAACCTTCTGACTCAGAGCATAGAGCGCTACCGATTGAGCCAAGACATAAAAATGCTTGAGAAGAGTATTAAGGGAAATGGGGAAAAGGCAGAGAAGTGGGAGAACTGCTGTCATTCAATAAAATGGGTGAAAAATGGGTGACTTTTATGGTCTTCAAACAAAATACATTTTTTAATTGCCATAAATCAAGACATATTCAATCAAGAAAAACCTGAAAACACACTACCGATCAAACATGGAATTATCTAAACTTGTGTGAATATTCGGGGAGCTGCTCTTGATGGCCCTGTGGGCCACTTCCAGCCTGCAGGCTGGCCACCATCGCTCTAAAGTAATTAAATTCTAACTGTCTTAGCTCTAATTATGAGATGTTGTCCATTAAGAAATTTAATATTTCTTAACTGTGTTAAAAACTATGTTACTCTCGATTAGAGAGAAGAGTCAACCAGATTTTTATTTGGCTCGACAATTCCTTTCATATCTGAAGCACCTCAATCAGATTCCTCCTCAACCGCTTCAGTTCTAGGGAAGACAACTCATTTACCCAATGTCTTATGATAACTAAATTAAGAAAACAAATTAAATTCCTGCATTGTGGTTAATTATAAAAGAGCACCTTAATTAGACGGACAATGTTGGTTCAATACTAATTCCAGTTCTGTATAATCAATGCTCAAACATCTTTTAGCTTTCAGAATAAACATTCACACACGGCACCTTGAAATGTATGAATACTATTATAAACAATTATTTACTTAGGCTTCTTATACAAAATGAGTAGATTTTGTTCCAGCGATAGTCACTTCAGTATTATACTTTTAAATCTGAAAGATCTTCAACTTAAGTGACAATTATCTCATAACTGATACATTTTACGTTGCTGCACATTTGATTAAGGATAGATAGTAAACTGCATACTTAGAACAATAATAGTATCAATCCTAAAAACATAGTATAACATAGAAATATGTGTATTCATTTTAACAGTAACAGAACCACAGTTTCTTTTGGTGACCCTAATAAGCTATAAGGAATAACTGGTCTCTTATTGTAATGAAAAGAAGCACAATGGTCGTGTAGGATGAATACTCTTGTGATTCGCAAAAGAGGTGAATGTGTGGAATACAGATGATTTAATTGAAGCCAAATTAATGATTCCACAATTGCTTTCGCACTCTGTGCCATCAAAGTGCAAACATTCAATTATAGCCATCGCAAGAAACATGATTCTGCTGAGTTCATGATTGTACATTATTCGACTGTGCTAATGCTTTGATTCCTTTTTGTTTTATGATCCAGAGAATTTTTATAATACTAAAATAGGATTTACTCACCTTTAAAAGCATCCAAGAAATGCAAGTGAATGGAGTACTCATCTCCAACAGTAGAGTAACCATAGGCAAATAGTGGCCCATTCTGTCCCATATGATAGCACAAGCAAATCCAACAAAAGCAAAAAAGTGATGGACAGCCAGGGCAACGTCAAATGTTCTGAAAATTATATTGGACCCATAAAAGACTGTATTTTCAAATAGGAAGAAGCCAACTGCTATTAATATATTGAACCAACTCCAGTTCTGCTGACCTAGTATTTTATCAGTGTGCAAGACTGGATCGACAAGAAGAGCCCAAAGACCTACAACTATACTTTGGACACCAAACACAGCACGAGTGGCAGCCAGGTTCCAGAAAGTCTTTTGCTTTGCTGCTAAAGCACAGTAGGTAGTAGACAGTGCAAATGACAGCAAGTGTGAAAAAATAAAAACTCCCAAATAGAAAAGAAAGCCAGCAGCCAATGTAATGCAGCGGATATCCCATGAAAAATAGTTCAGGTCAAACAGGCTTTCTGAAGCAACAATGCTGTGAGCAGAATTCATTTTGGCAGTTGAAGGAATCCTGTTCAGATCAAATTTCACAATTTGAGTTTGTTTTTATTGTCGAGAAAACAAAGCTAAATTTGTATCCACGCACAAAATTTCCTCAATCAAAATCTTTCCAAGTCTAACTCCATCCAGTTACAGGTCACCTGAAAGAAAATAAGGAATACAATTAGCAAATAAAGGGCAAATGAGTCGGTCAGTTTTGTTTTTGTATATAATCCCTAAAGTTATATTTCATGTTTTCCCCCCCATCTTGTTCTAAAGGTCATAACTTATGAAAAGTTATGATTTCACCAGCCAGGAGTCCCCAAAATATTGTGAAATTGAGGCCAGTCTTAATACACAGACAACAACTACTTGCATTTATAAAGTGTTCTTTACGCAGTGTCTCGGAGCTCTTAACAGTGGTGGAGCCTGATGCTCAGCTGGGAAGTATGGGTGACCCTAAACACGGTTGAAGAGGAAGACAATAAGCACTGGTCAGGGAGGGAAGAGAGGAGCAAGAAGCAGAGGAGAAAGGCGAGCACACGCAATCCTTTTCTCATTTATTTTTTTCCCCCATTAGTAGCTAGCAGAAATTAATCAAAAATGGAGATTGAGTACAATTATTGCCTCCTCTAAACACTACCATCACTATTTTTGTTATATTTTATCTTGTTTGGACAGCCAAACAAGATAAAGTCTGACCCATGTGGAAACCCATCGCCATGCTTAAGAGTATCCAAGCCAAACTGAGAATTCCATGTATCCACCCACACATGGAAATTTCTGTGATAAATTGTTGGACTGAAATGCACACTCTCTCTATGGAGGGACATATCCCGGTCTCCTAATTCCGGAAAGTATTATGTGCAGGTTTGCAAAAGCCAAGGCTTGGGGACTCCAGAGTGTGGGTCGGGGTCCTGCTGGAGTCGAACCGGCTAAAACTACATAGCTTACCATTGATATCGCTGTCCGACAAGCTTTCCCGCTGCTTGTCCAGCTAGAACCACCCGTTAGGCCCTCGGCTTGCAGGGTTAACAAGAACTGAATGGGATGGCTCCCTACCCCCAGTGACTGCTGATGAGCCAGGCTGGCTGTGCTGTCATCAGCAACGCCCTGTAATACTGAGGGCTGGTTCGATTCCGACAATTCCCACAAGGAAAATCACGTGGATTTGCAACTTTGCCGCGAACCACATGCTGTATTATAATTATAAATGGACCAACTGATTTTTGTGCTGACGGTACATTTCCTGTCACAAGTCAGTAATAAAGGGCCACTTGTACATCATCAACATGCATACATTTTCCTTAGTGTTACTGATAATCCTATTGGTATTTTAGAACCTATAAAACTGAATCACCTCCTGTTCTAGGAACATAGTAGTGATTCAGCTACAAGAAAGTTTTTGTATTTAGCATTTCTTTATAAAACAAAAATGTTCCATTAACATTAGCTCCAAACTCACTAGTTTCAACCAAAACAATGTTCTCTGTATTACTACAGTATATCTATATGACGTAGGAACATTTAAATAATAGTGTGGATCCAAAGAAAATCAGAGTAAAGAAACAAAAATCACATATTAACAGCAAAGCAGTCCAGAGTTAGCCTGTAGCTATGTATTAATAGTAACATCAAAAGTTCCATTTTCAATCCATATACTGCACAAATATAGTGCTGATCATAGCAGCTACCAACTTGCCTTCAACATCTTTGGCTTCCTGCAACTTCAGCTTATGTGACTTCCTGTGCAAAATGTCCATGCAGTTTCATTCTCACTACATTTAATTTGAAATTCAATTTCTATTCTAAGTTCACCATTTAATTCAGAGCTATTTAGCCGAATGATTATTACACAGAATGACACAGCCACGGAGAAGGCCACTTGGTCCAAATGGTGTGTCTTGGCCATGTATGCGATAAATTTGATTCAAATAGATTTAATAATAATTTACTTTGGGATTCTTAAAGAACTGCATTTTTTCTGAAATTCTAAAGACCTTGTGGGTGAATTTTTAGGGGTCTGCTGAGTATCTGACACAAGAGGAAACCCAGCACCATACACAAGAGTATGTAGATTAACAACAACTTGTATTAATATAATAATAATCCTTACATTTGATATAGCGCCTTATCACATCTTCAAGACATCTCAAAGTGCTTCACAGAATATACAGTAAAGTGAATTGACTGTATATTTTGTGGGTGAAATGCGGCAGCCAATAGCATACAACAGTGTCCCACTGTCGTGGATTGAACGACCAAATTATAATTTTTTAAAAAGGGAATTATAGCACTCTTCATACAAGGTAACAACAACAACAAAATTACATTTGGATAGCGCCTTTCATGTCGGGAGGATGCCCCAAGGTACTGGACGGTCAGAGATTCAGACCCGAGCTAGGGGTCGGGATTGGGGAGGGTGGAGGACAGGGGTGGAAAGCAGGATGATCAAAAGCAGGGTCTTCCAGAGGGTGGGGGCAGAGTAGCAGAAGTCCTGGCCGCCAACAGAGGGACAGGCGAGGTGGGGAACATGAAGCAGGCCGGAGCCTGCTGAATGTAGGGAGCGGGCAGGATGGTAGGGGATTGGGATGTCGCAGAGGCAGTGGGGAGCAAGACCACGGAAGGCTTTGAATGAGGGTCAAACACGACGCCGAGGTTCCGGACTCGCTTAGTAAGGTGGAGTGTGCATCCTTGGATGGTGATGCTGTCAGCGCCTGAAGTGTGGAGGCGCTGACAGGAGCCAATCAGGAGAGCCTCGGTCTTGTCGACGTTCAACTGAAGCTCTCATGCAGGACTTGATGTCTGGTAGATATTCTGTCAGGACAGCAGTGGTCCTGGAATCCAGGGTGGAGGCAGAGATACAGTTGGGTGACATCCGCGTTCATGTGGAAGTTGACCCCATGTCTGCGGATGATATCGCCAAGTGGGAGCATACAGGTATTGAAGAGGAGGGGACCAAGGACAGAGCCCCGAGGAACGCCGCACCAGATGGTGCGGGGGCTAGAGGAGAAACCGTTTGTGGAGATAAAGTGGAAGCGGTGTGTGAGGTATGATTTGAACCAGTCAATGACAGAATGTCATTTGTCACTTTGACCAGGGCTGTTTCTGTGCTGTGGGTGCCATGGAAAGCAGAAGTGGTGGGAGAGGAAGGAGCGAAGCAAGGAAGCAACAATTCGTTCCAGGACCTTAGAGAGCAAAGGGAGGTTGGAGATGGGGCGGTAGTTTGAGTAGTGATGGATCCAAGGGGGTTTTTTTTTTTAAAAGGATAGGAGTGATGACAGCTGTTTTTAATGGGGCAAGAACAGTACCTGTGGGCAGAGAGAGACTTATCATGTCTGTGAGTAGAGGGGCAAGGAGGTGCCCAGGTTCGAAGGTGTGGAGGGAGGGATTCGAGGAAGTCCAGCATCACGTCGCAGTTGGCATTGGAGATGAGGATGGGCGAGGCATGAGAGGGTGGGTGGAGGTGCCGGTTGGTGATGGAGAAGAGGAGCCTGGGGTTGTCCTTGGCCTCCAAGATTGTCTTGGAATAGAACGACGATTTAGCGGAGGAGGGTGGAGCGGTAGGATTTGATAAGGTCCAGCCAGATCTGCTGATGGATTGTTAAGTTCGATTTAAGCCAGGTGCGTTCAGCGGCATGCACCTGTGCTTTAAGGGAGCAGAGGTGGCTGGTATACCATGGTGACTTACATGAGTAGGAGATGGTTTGGAATGAGAGGGGGGCAAGTGAATCGATAGTGGAGGAGAACAATGCAAAGCCTTCAAGGAGGAGATAGTTCGGGGACAGGGCAAATATATTCCCACAAAGGAGAAAGGTAGGACAGTCAAACCTCCCTGGATGACTAAGAAAATTGGGATTAAAATAAAACAGAAAAAGGAGGCTTATGACAAATGTCAGCTCCAAACACACAGGATAATCAAATAGAATATAAGTACAGAGAAGTGAAAAGGGAAATAAGAAAGGCGAAGAAATTGTATTAGAAAAGATTAGCAGGAAACATAAAAGGGAACCCTAAGTTATTTTATAAGCATATCAAGAGTAAAAGGTTAGTCAAAGGTAGGGTGGGTCCAATTAGATACCCGAGTGGAAATTTTCTTATTGAAGCAGAGGGTATGGCTGATGCACTAAATAAGTACTTTGCAACTGTCTTCACAAAAGAAGATGATGCAACCAATGCCAATGTCACAG